AGAAGATTCAGTGAGGATGGCAGGGCTCTCATAGGAGGTGTCAGTCCTGGCAGAAGTCAGTTATTTCATTGCAGTAAGTAGATCAGGCTGGATTCTCTCTGCGGTGCAATAACAACAGATTGGGGAGCATGCAAAGCAGCATCAATACATAAAAATTAAACTACTTTTCATACACAAAGCTGAGTTTAGATAAATGCAGAACAGAGAAGCAAAGGCACAATATTCTCTGAAAGTGTGGCCTTTTTATGCTGTTTTGGAGACTAATTTACATACAAATAAAATGTCAGCTTATCCCATAACTGTCATGATAAATTGAAGCATTTAGACTTTTGCATGAGGTGCTCTTTCTGTACCTTATTAAATTACAGGATCTTGGCCTTTTGCCAAGTGCTAGGGTGACACTCTCTCTACTGAAACGCATACAGGAGAGGGATATGGGCCTGGACATCAAGAGAAACCAGGTTCAGTCACTAACTAAGAGCCCTGCCTGCATGTCACCTTGAACACCTTGATTTTTGCATCTTCTCTGGAGATCATTTTATTTATCTGTAAAATGGCAGTGATAGTTTTCCTGTTTCGCAAGATTTTTTGAGGTTTAACAGGTTGTCATGTTTACAGAGTATTTTTAGATGCGTGATTGGAAGCCAGGGCAAAGCAGATCTTTGCCTTGTCGGGCTCCCCTATCCTGGATGGATGGCAGGGGAGGTCCAGGAGGAGCAAACTCTGTAGCAGGCTAGTCAGAAATGCAGAGCAGCAAACTGTTGCGCTCAAGCACTCTTACATGAAAGAAGCAATGGCAGAATTCTTCATTTTGGTTGCAAGATACTGTAATATTCCACCCCGTGTTGCTTCTTTAGACAAATCACCTTTTGACTTCAGTTTCTCCTGAAAGTGCCTTCATGATTACTCCAGTAGTGAGCTTAAAAAGAAATAAGTGCCTGGAAGTAGGTTCAAACGATGTGTTTTGAAACGCCACTCCTAAACTCTCTGAAATGGCCAAGCGTCTGGTCTATACCCATAGAAAAGATTAGATTTATTTCAGTGGCGAGATGACTACTAATATGTGCTGTGCTCTGAAGCATATGGTAATAGAGAAGATCATTTTGAATTAATTTGATGTGATTTAATAAGAGATTTATTTGATGAGAGTTGTTTGAAGGTGATGACACTTTGTAGCTGAACAGGATTTAAGATGTCCAGAAGTGCACCTTTAGAGATTTGAGAACAATCAATGTTGGGAAAGTAAATGTAAATGAGAAGGAGCAAGCCTGAACAGACCGCAGCTTTTTTTCACTTGTCTCTTTGTTGTAAACTTTGTGGAAAAAAAAAATTGCAAAAAGCTCTTGGCAAATTGGTGATCAGGGACCAAACTGAAGAGTCAAAAAATGTGGAAGAGGAAGAGAGGAGGTCAAAAACAACAACGTTTTGCTATAATACTGCTCTACTAAAATGACATATAAGGCATGGTTTTCTCCTTGCATTTTCTAGATTGATGAAGCTATCATAATTTCAGTGGAGCATGCAGAGTGTAGAATATCAAGCAGATACATATTGACCAAATACACTGTTCGATCCTGCCAAATTTTACTGATATGAGGAGGCCTGTTCTACTCTAAGCAATCTCAGGCAGGAACGAGTAGCCATGCAGTTTTAGGGCTTGTAGAAAAACACGTATAGCTTCAAAAGTCCTTTGGAATTAGTTTGTTGCTTGCTTAGAGCCGTGACGTTCCCTGTCTTGTACGGTGTATTTGAAGACACTGGTGCCAAAGGGGAAGAGGTGGTCTTGTTGAAGAGGGAGTTGCTTGTTCTTAAGTTTATTCTGCCCTCCCATGCTTTATGGCCTGATCCTTGAGTTCCTTACACAAAAGGGGTTTTTCTTCCCTTCTCAGCAGAGAAAGGGTAGGACCATATATCAGTTGCTCTCAGACAGGCTTGCTCTGAGAACCGGAAGCAAAGCTGGGAGAGAAGTGTTGTGTGTGACTGCATCTGACTCTGTGTCCCACCCAGAGACAGTGGGGATGTGAACCTGTACACGTCTTTTTTCTGTCATTTTGCTGTTCAAGTATCCACGAGGAAAGGTGGAAAAACGTGAGCTTTAGCCAGTCCTGTACTGCTGTGTCTGAGTTGGGGGGTAGTTTGCATCTAATGTAAAAGAATTTTCAGTGAAGGCAGCAATTTCACCTGGAATTTCCAGTGTGTTTACAGATTATTATTATTATTATTATTATTGTTATTATTGTTATTATTGTTATTATTGTTATTATTTTATTATTTTTTTTAAATGCTTACATTAGAAAACATACAGGTCTTTGAACTGTGGGCTGTCCTGGTTAGCTTGTTGACTTTCTGGTTGTGCTCGGCGCGGGTCTGGGCCAGCCCGACGGGCTGCGGCGGAGGGCTAGGTGCAGAGTGGCTCCCTGGGGACAGAGCCCGCTGTGGAGATGGTTTCCCAGAAATTCACTCTCAAGACAGGAGCTTTCTGGCTTCAGAGCTCGTGTGCCTTACAGCTGCTTGATTGTTATATGGAGAGTGGGGAGAAGGCTCCAGATCAGTTAGGACTTTATGTGCTTGATAGAAGCCGACACTTTGAACACTTAAGGGTTTTTTATATACAGCACAGCAGACAGTCTTTGTGGCCTATTTATGTGTAATAAGCTAGGTTTTGTTTTCTGCCTTGTTTTTTTTTCTTTTTTTTTCTTCTGTGAAAGAAAAAGAAAAAAAAAAAAGGAGAGAGAAATTAAAACCACAGCAGTATTTTCCCATGCGGCTATAGTGAGTATCCTGCGATCTCACATGATCAGCTGTCCTGGTGGGGTGGAGTGTGGGAAGGTGTCAAAATATGTCTCTTAATATTTTTTTTTTTTTCTTAAAAGGGAAAGCCAGATGAGTGCCAAAAACCCTGTTCTCTTCTCTAGCCCTGCAGTAACAAACTACATGAGTGTATGTTATTAAGATGATAAGATTAAATTTCTAGCTACTAACATGCTATCACAACAGCAAAGGGGGAAAAAAGATCTTGAAAAAATTATGAAAATTAGTCTGACGGTCTCCTTTTAATAATAAGATCACTCCCAACCCCAACAGACAGTGTAGGCTGGAATTCCACAGGGCTTTTTTGTGGTCCTAATGATTTTAATAATACTTTGTGCTATGTAGCACCTTTCATTAGAGGATCACAAAGTGCTTTACAGTCACTAATTAATTAAGCCTCACAACACTCCTGTGAGATAGGTAAGTATTAGACATATATTAAGCTGATACACTGAGAGTTAATGATTTTTTGCTGCATTATTCTAGCAAAATGATTGATGTTTAAGCGCCGTATGTGCATTATATGTCTGTGTGTGGGTGTGTAATATATATGAGTGTAAAAATATTAATTTTACTATCCCTTAACAAAGAGGTCCTACTTGAGCCTGTTGAATATAAATGCGTATTTTCATTTAACTTTTTGTTGCTGCAGCATATTGACTGGTTTGCTATGTGTCTGCTTGTGCATCTACTTGTACAAAGATTAGTCAGTGACATCTCACAAAATTCAGACATCTTTCTAAATGTATTATTCTGTTAAAAAGAGCGTATGACTAAGACCTGACCTAAACCTGCAGTGCAAGCACAAGGCAACAACCATGCTGTTGCAATAGGTTTTGATGACAAGTCATCACGTTCAATAAAAGTAATGAGCAACAACAATGACCCATTGCAGGAGCTGATGATCAGCAGGTAATTAGCCATTATCTTCACCATGCATAAGAAACTATTGATTATCAGAATTTACTTTTTATTTTTATTTTTTTAAAAGAGGTACAGTAGTCACTATGGTAATTCATTATCCTGAATTACAAACTGATTTTAGCAGAAGTTTTCACTTTTTGCTTTCAGGGATAAATTGATGTGAGTGATTGTTGAACAGAAAAGTCTGTATCTTGCAGATGCATGAATCGTGTAGAGTAGCCTTGGCTGGTTTTGAGGGAAACTATATATAGCTATTAGTGTTATTTCCACTTCAAAATAGCTGAGGGTGATCATATCAGGTGAAAAAAACCCTCATGGTTTAAAGGTAATTTCATCATAATGAAAATAAGATACTAAACCCTGGATTACAGAGCCCAAAGACGAGTTCTCCAGCCTGGGCCCTATCCAAAGTTCCCTCAGCTCGAGAAGTCTCTTCATTCACATCAGGCTTAGTAATTCTTTTATTTTGGGAAGATCACCATTTCCAGTGATGAAAAGGTAGTTCAGTCCCAATGGCTGTTCATCACTTGGCCTCTTCACTAACAGCCAACAAATGTGCTTATTATCGTGATGGCATTTTTGAGATGTGGATAGTTGCCCACTTAAAGTAACACCACTAAATTCATTTCAAGTGAGACACGAGGCAGCCAGCAGATGATAAGTTTCAATTGCTGATGGCAGAGCCTGGATATGAACGAGTTATTTGTATTCCTTTATCCATCCCATTAGGCCAGTCCCATTACAATGCACAGTACCTGTTAATATATGTGAATTTTTAAGGCACTTTTAATTTTTACAGCATTTATCCAGCTCATTTTCAACACTTACTTTAAACTTGTTTTAAACTTGTTTTTTGGTGAACATCACTTCTGAGATAATTTTTGTCTCTCTTTCTCTGTGTGTGTGTGTTTGTATGTGTGCATTTGTATGTGTGCGTGTGTACAAGAGTGTGTGTGTCTGAGGAGAAGGCAGCTACGGAATTTCTTATGCTTGATGGAAGCAGAGAACAGCAGCCACTATTTGTATAGTGCCCACTAATAGATGCATGTGAATGTGCAATAGGCATAATAATGTTTTTAAGTAAAAACCATATTTTGAATGCATAATTTAGGAAGGAAAACCTTTTTTTGTTTTGTTTTGCAGATATACAGATCAGCTCTCAAAATGTCTTCTGTGTCTTCCGTGCATCTTCTAAGACAATTGCATTAGCCCGCCTGCTAGTTGACTAGTAGAATTAATAATTGTAAAAAGCACTCTAAAGCCACATGCCTTATGAAGTCAATGCTGGGTATGATTTTACAAGTATGTGATCCATTTTTTCAAGTGAAATTGTTAACTGAAAACGTTCTTGGCACACAATAAAACATTGTGCAATCTGTTATTTGTCTTAGAGATAATAATTTCAGAGTGGCTATATTCTTTCTATATCTAACTTATGACTTGCTAGGGGATGGTTTCTTCGATTTAGGAGTATTGCAAATGTAGTTTTATTTACATGCTATGTCTCTGAAAAATGATAGTGGCGGAATTTCAGCGACAAAAAAAAATACTGTGCCTTTTCTTACTGTCCCCTTGAGTGGCTATCAAGCAAATAAATGACAGATGATTTTTCAAAAGCTAAAAGAAACAAGAGGGGAAAATACTTTCAAATTCAACTTAAGAAAGTTTTTTTATTTAGATCAATGTTATCTTCTTTCCTTTCTTTCTCCAAGTGTAGAATATTGCATGAAAAAGCTCCATTAGGCAGATATGGGTTTCTTCCCCCCCTCCATTAACACACGGACTCATAGATATGTCAGGAAAATTTGAACCAAAGTATCTAGATCTGGAGTACTGTCTAGTTAGCCTGTATACAGTCCAGATTTTTCTTTTCTTTGCTCTATAGGGATTTGTTTTCTTTCCTTTCCTCTTGACTCTCTTCTGTCAGTTGCTACGAAGATAGCAAAGTCTCTAAACTTTCCTTATCTGCCAAAAATATCTGTAACAAAAACATTTTAAAACATTGCATTTAGTCTTGTTTAATTTTGACTGAGGTAACAGTCACGATGTTTACTTTCTCGATTTCTGATTTTTCTTCACTGCGTAGCTAGAACTCCTTTCTCTGTCCTCTAACTGCCATGAATTGCATTTAAACAGAAGTTATTTTAAAAATGGTTTGGGATGTGTAACCAGGAGAAAAATACAGACTTAGCTGAACACCTACCAGAGATGCTCACCAATATTTTTAGTGTGTGTTAACCAAGAGCATTCATGAAGTCCCACAGAGAAGCAGTAATGCTAAAAGGCTAAGGACTATCTTTATACCTTGAATATTATATGCGCGCATGTTGTTTTAGTAGGCTGAGTCTGTATTGTAATAGTTCTCTCACCACAACAGGAAATCTTTCTTTTCTCTTAGTTCTGAGTGACTTCATGGTTCAGAAGTTACCGGGGGAAAAAAAAGTAAAATTCAGTGCATACATATCCCAGTAGGTGTGGTTGACATTAAAGAGAAGACACTTGGTTCCCAAGCATGTGCGTCTTCTGCAGTAAGGAATCACAGTAGGCATTTAAGAAACCTATTAAGACCACACGGAGTGTCAAAATTTGTGTAACACGAGCTGGCATTCTGTGTGAAAGCCATTTCACTGTAGCCCATGCTGCCTGTGGATCAGCTCAACCACAAAGACAACAGAGCCAGCCCAAGACACAAGTTGAACACTTCCCCTAAGAAGTTGTCTGTTTTTATCAACATAGCATACAGTGCCCTTTCATGTGGAGCAGATGTAAATAAGAGGATGTACAGATGCCTGTTCTTTGATTTTTAACCTCCGTCCCCAGCCGTACTTCTCGAAGTACTGTTTTGAGAAGGTCATCCATGGCTTTTAAAGGTCTGGATGCAACACCATTTGGAGCACATCAGTGCTGCTCCTAGAATCGCCAGGTGGTCCTCCCTTCGCAGAGCAATATATATCTCCAGTGCCTCCGTAGGCACCTGGCCGTGGCTGGCCTGGGAATGGGGGCTCAAGCTTGAGTCTGCAGCTCACATCTCATGTGTGGTACTGCAAGCTGCTGCCACCGGACCACACGCAATTTGGCAAAGAGAATCATCCATCACTCTACACAGCATTGGCAAAGATAAGAGCATAGAAAAAGTTGTAGCACCTCTGTCTTCTGCCCATAGCTAGCATGTGAACAGAAATGGATCAAACCAGCTGGTGATGAATATCAAATCCAGAACCACACAGTGGAGATTGCAGGGAAGTTTCATATATATATATATATATATATATATATATGTATATTTTCCCTAAGTAGGCTGGGGAAGGTAGATATGTAGCGAATGAGGAATTTGGTTTACTGCCTGCATAGTCTGATTATTTGTTCTTCCATAATCTCCCCTGTTCAGCTAGCAGCTAACTCACTGGTGGCAGACTCCTCCTTTCTCTCTGATCCTTATTGCTCTCCTGTCTGAGCTTTCTTAAGTGGATCCTGGAAGTCTACTTGCAGATTTAGCAATAGTGGCTATGTCTGCAAAGAGGACTGAGCAGAGGAAGGTTTGGCTGTTTAGATCCATGTGGATTCCAGGTGTAGAACCACACTGGAGATTGCAGGGAAGTTTCATATATATATATATATATATATATATATATGTATATTTTCCCTAAGTAGGCTGGGGAAGGTAGATATGTAGCGAATGAGGAATTTGGTTTACTGCCTGCATAGTCTGATTATTTGTTCTTCCATAATCTCCCCTGTTCAGCTAGCAGCTAACTCACTGGTGGCAGACTCCTCCTTTCTCTCTGATCCTTATTGCTCTCCTGTCTGAGCTTTCTTAAGTGGATCCTGGAAGTCTACTTGCAGATTTAGCAATAGTGGCTATGTCTGCAAAGAGGACTGAGCAGAGGAAGGTTTGGCTGTTTAGATCCATGTGGATTCCAGGTGTTTTCGGGGTAGATCCCGACTCAGTCACACAGCAATGTCAAATGTCTGGATCCAGGCCTGTAAAATTTTATTGACAACGGGTTTCCTAATAAAGTTAGTTTCTCTTTGTTTGGCAAATAGAACTAATTACATGAATAATGGACTGTGGGGCCAGACTCCAGAATATCCATATAATCCTGTTTGAAGTTTATGGGCAGTAGGAGGGGGAGCTTTTGCTATAGAGAAACTGATACCTGGTTAGGAAAAATACTTTCTCTGAAACCTCAGTTACTTACTCACCTAAATCTGTTTCCTTCCTAATAATTTGTTTATGTGCTCCTGATTATGTCTTTTAGGTGTATTTTTGCAAAGCTACGTTATATGTAGTTGTACAGTGTATGAACATTAGACTGCAAAAGTTTATTTTTCCCCTTAGTTTTTTAAAATGATTTTAAAAGGAAGCGTTCATTTAAAATTATTTCTGCCAGACCATTATCTTCCAAAAAGATAATGAAACCTGTAATTCACTCACTCTGATGGCAGTGTTTTTCTACTTTAAAATTGTCTTTTATTTAAGTTCAGTCTCAGTGTGACCATTTTTTTTAATATAAAGTTCCAGTTTTCTGCATAGACTAAAAACCTGCTTGACAAAAATTTTCTGAAAAGTCGATGTAATCATGTAGTTCAGAATGCTTAAAAAAGTGCGAGGCTTATAATCTGTTATTTATCTTGAATAATTCTATAGGGTGTTTTGCTTTTTTTCTTTCTTTTTTTTCTTTTTTTTTTCTTTTTTTTTCTTTCTTTTTTTTTTCTGTGGTAGATATGGTCCGGAAAAAGAACCCCCCTCTAAGAAACGTTGCTAGTGAAGGTGAGGTACAGACCCTTGAGTCTACAGGTACTGAAAGTGAAGAGTCTGGAAGGAAAAAGGAATTTTCCGCAGAGCAGATGCAAGAAAACACTGACCAGGGTGATGCGGCAGAGTTAAATAACAAGGAGGAACTTTGCACGCATGTCCAAGAGCCATCTTCCAGCATTAAAAAGGACTTGAAAAGCTCAGTGCTGAGTGAAAAGGCTGGCTTCAATTATGAAAGCCACAATAAGGGAGGAAATGTTCCATCCTTCCCTCATGATGAGGTGACAGACAGAAATATGCTGGCTTTCTCATCTCCAGCTGTTGGGGGAATCTGTGAGCCCTTGAAGTCTCCTCAAAAATCAGATGCAGATGACACCCAAGATGTGGTCTGTACCCCATCAGGAGATGCAGCGGAGACAAATGAGGAGCATCAGATGTCGCCAAAAGCTTCAGATGAAACAGTGCAAGTGCAAAGTGGTCAAACTGATGGCCAAGGCTCAAGCCCGGTCCCCATGGCCTCAAAAAACCCACAAGTGCCTTCAGATGGGGGTTTAAGGCTGAACAAATCTAAAGCAGATTTGTTGGTAAATGATAACCCAGATACGGCGCCTCTGTCTCCAGAGCTTCAGGACTTCAAATGCAACATCTGTGGATACGGTTACTATGGGAACGACCCCACAGATCTCATCAAACACTTCCGCAAGTACCACCTAGGACTGCACAACCGCACCAGGCAGGATGCTGAGCTCGACACTAAAATTTTGGCTCTCCACAACATGGTGCAGTTCAGCCACTCCAAAGACTTCCAGAAAGTCAACCGCACTGTGCTTTCAGGAGTGCTGCAGGACATCAATTCCCAGAGGCCTGTCTTATTAAATGGGACTTACGATGTGCAGGTTTGTATTTTCCCAGCCTCCCCGCTTCTGCTAACTGCCTTCTCAACTGCAAAAAGTCAGTTATTTGCAAAGCCTCTCCTACCTACGCGATTAACGTATTTCATATAACCTGCTTAAACCTTAAGAACCATTTTTGTCTATTGCAGCCAGGCTTTCTGCAGGTCTGCTGAGCATCTGGTACAGTAGAGTACTTGGCTTTTTGACCAGTGATATTTCTGTGTGCGATTTAGTTGTTGTGGTAATCAATGGCAAAAGATCTTATTCAGCAGACAGGCAAAATGCTGAATTGGTAATCATAGCTGAAGGATTCTCTGTCACGGAAAGAAAAGAGCAAATAATAATGAAAAATAACAACCAGATAGACAAAAGACAGCAGCTGGAAATTAAAAATGTAATCCTAAATTATCAGCTGCCGAGAGTCAAGATTTGGCTTATTGATCCTTTATTAGGATAAAATAAATGGCAAGTCTTGGCAACTCCAAAGTTGTCTAGTGCCAGAAAAGCAGGATACACAATGGTTATTTAAAACATTTCAAAAAGTAACAGTAATCCACGCTGTCCTTCACATTAGTGAGCACGCAAGGAAAGGACTATTGCCTCAGTCGTTTTCTCATCTAGTTGGAACAGGGAAAAAAATACAGATACTGCTGTAAAAAAAAAATCTTATTTTTATCATAAAAGAGTGGACTCAAAAGCTTTTTTATGGAGTCTCTGTTAGTTTCTTATCAGCTAATATTTAATTAGTTAAAAAAAATGATGCTGCTTTAAAAAAAATCCTCTCATGAGTGAGCTGAGAGATGTGGTAGGATACTTCAATATTCTATTATATAAAAATTCAGATTTTTAAGAAAAAAACCTGAACATAACCAAGTTTGCATACAAAATGAGTTCAAATGTCCATTCCAATTTCAAGTGTATAGGACATGATGTCCAACCTGGTAGTAATCACCAGGCAAAACTCAGGGTATGTTAAAATAAAAAGGTAGAAGGTGGAAAATATTTAATAATGCTTGCAGAGACTGTAGGTATAGGATTTGCAAAACAGGTTAAGATGGCTAACATCTAACTTCAAGTAAGAAGCTGAAACCGGAACACAACTCAGGAACTCGAAGCTTTTTAAGTGATTTAAACTTTTCCTCTTTTTTCAGAAACTCTACAACTTCTTTGTGGAGCAGCAAATCAAACTAAGGTTGTTATTATGCGTAAAAGCTGCAATCTTTGAACTGCTGTCTTACTGAAAGATCACTTCGCTGTCTCGTGTCAGACACTCTCTCCTGTCAAACTGTGATTAGAAAGCAAATACGTGATTTAGTTAAAAGAGGTTAGAAGTGAATAATGTCAGAATGTGAAATGATGGTTTATAATTAACACATAGTATGATGTTAATACCTGGATTTCCTGCTATAGTTTCAGTTTGCTGACTCCGGGGACAGCATCTTAGAGCAACTGATCCGTGCTGTCAGGAAGACATTCAAACTGGAACAGCTCAGGCATACAGTATAGAGGAATTTGAGTTTCTAAACACACTTTCATTTCCTCCAAACAATTGTTTCGTTAGGTCCTTAGTTATTTATAGGAAAGTTTATGCTTGATTAGAATGAGCTGGACACTTTTCCTATGCAGTGCTTTCAGAAATAAAACAGATGTGTGAGCTATCTCAGTTTGAACTGATAGAAGTAGAAATAAAACAGCTGAACCTAGACTATACTTGTCTACTAAACCCTGGCAGTAAGATACTGCAGGGGAGACAAAAAGCGGTAGGAAACAGCCCATAGATAATCTACTTAAGATCAGTCTTTTCTCAGACGAAAAACATTTTCCAAAATAGAACAGACAGCCTATACAATGTTGGCAATTTATTTTAAAGAAAAAAAATTGGATCTGGAAACTTAATTTTTAAGAGTGCTAATTTTCCCTGCCCAATTTGGGAAGAGAAGATTAAATAAGCTTTTGTGCCAAATGCCATACTTCATCACTTGCACATGCACCAGATGTTGATCCAGAACATGTCAGAAGATAAGTAACTGATTAATATTTTTATGCTTTCTCCTCCCCCACTCCCGATACAGAGCAGCTTTGTGAGATTCATAAACACAGTAAAAGAATGTTGGAAAATCCCCTTTGCACCCACACATGTTTATATTGCTACTATGTCCATTTTGGTGGGGATTTTTCTCAGGCATCTGAATGGCTGGCGTCTCCTGCCGCATCAATGGGTCATATTGATTGGAGCTCTGGTTAAAATCGGTTCAGTCAGACTCCTATGTAACATGGAGAGGGAACTGAACCTAAATAATTGGTTCATCTAAACAATATTATTTTGTATAGGTACTGGGCTAAAGGAAAATAATCCCTTTGTAATTAACTTGAAATAGTAGTGGACTGGGCTTAAGGTCTGATTTATTGATCCCCTTGCACTTAACAAACTGTTCTGTTGTTGCTGGGGTGGAAGTTATCGACGGATTTATGGTGTCAGGCCAGGGAGCTGGGCGCAGAAGCCAGAGGATGAAGATGGCTGACTTTGATCTGGCTCACAGTGGTCAGTTGGAGACCATGGTATATGAAGATTTGTAGTAGTGAGGGATGCTGTTGTGCCCCGTAGTTTGCATTCATAACAAAAGCAAACAAAAAGCAGTGGAAGAATGTCTGAATGCAGAAAAAACAGTATCTGCTATCCTATCTGCAGATAGGTAGGGATGTGGTCTCTTTGCCAAGGGCTTGGAAGAAGGAAATATAGTGCATTTTTGGACTTGTACCACAGAAGTGAAGTCTGTCCTAGAAAACTTAAACCCCCAACCCTAAACCTGGCTTTTAGTTTGGTGTTTTGTTTTTTTTTTTCTGTATTGCAGTCAGCAAAACAATAGGGATACACATTTGGCTTCACATCCAGGTACGCAAATGTTGGGACTGTGTTTTGTAGTACCTAAAAAGGATTTGGCTGGGAACTGTGTAAATAATCCAAGCTTTCTGGCCTTACTACTGTTTAGATTTTTACTTGATTTGAATATTTAATCCAGCAAGATTCCTTTGTCGTCTTTGAAAATGTGATTTTGTTTTGAAAATCTCCTGTACTCTTTGTTCCCATTTTCTTCCTCAGAGGTTTTTGGTTCATTGAGTTATAATAAATTCCATAGGATTGGGTAAAATCACTGAGCTGTTTCTGGGAGATTAACTTTCTTGCCAGTATAGATTTCAGAAAACATTTGCTAATGCATCTCTGAATTCCCAGCGAATGTGTTAATCAGCTTTATTGCCTTTATTAGAATAATATTTGAAGTGAGTTCAATGGATCAACTTTTGCTGATGCCCCTCATTACTTTTTCTTCACATTTAGTTAATTGATCAATCTCTATAAGCAGCTTTGTCTTGCTGGATATTTTAGCCTACGTGTGGCTTTGTGGACATGCCTGAAGCAGTAGACTTTAGACTGGATCTAAAGACTTCGCTTAAAGTAAAATTCAGGTGACTTAAGTTAACAGCTATAATGCTGAAAACCATTGCTTTGCTACTGTATGATTCAGTCTCCTTCTGTGTTTGATCTAATGACTCTTTAATGTAAAGTATGGCAAGGTCTGGAGACGGGCAAGTGGCGGGCAAGTAGGCAGGAGTCTTTTTTCTGTCCCCGAATTTTTTTTATGAGTAGTGAGTGGGACAGCTTCAGCAGAAAGGTTGGAGAGTGCTGTCTTCCACGTATCAGCTTATAGCTAAGAGGTAGAACATTGCCCAGCAAGGCAGAAGAAGTGGGCTTGGATCCCCTCTGACAGAGCAAGGAAAGGAGCCTACTTTCCTGTTTCCTGAACAAGTGTTCAAGCCATTAGGCTATTGTGTAAAAGGGAGCATGATCCCATTTCCTGATACGTTTTAAAAGAAAACAGTGTCCCTCAAAGAAAGGACAGAAATGTCTGCATTCAGGTGAGGGTTTCAGATGGCATGTCCCAAGGGGGAAGGGTATTCATGCAGCCGTGAATAAGGACATACTGCAGTGCTCAGCAGTTCTTAGGGTTGACTCCAGGCAGCTTTACATTGTGTGTGCTACCTTTGAGGAGCTTCCTGCTCAGCATGGCCCTGGTTCTGGAGCTTATTGTCACAGACCTACCTCCTCTTATGTTCAGCCATTAAAGAGGTTCAGACTCCTGTCTGAAAGTACTAAAAAGTGATTTTTTTTTTTTTAATCCAGCCCTCTCATTTTGATTGTTTCATGATTTTAGAGACTAGACTACCATATAAGATAAGAAGACAAATTTCTGAAAAGCCATGGACTGATACAAGCCATCCAATAGTTTCTTGATTGTATTTCAATGAGCCCAGGGAAAAAAAAAAAAAAAGTACTACATTATCTAACTAGCCCACAGACTAATGAGAGATCAGCGGCAGATTTTTTGTTTCATAGTTCTAGACATCCAATATTATACGAGCTGTCCTGTACCACTCAGCCTAATCCTTTGTCATATATGAATATGAGTAACAACTTTTCCAGGATTTTCACAGCAACTGAGAGTCCTTCTGGATGTCCAGCTACCAGGCTGCTCAGCGCCTAGAAAGTGGCAGAAGTGGCCACACGTGCAGAGTGTGTAAAGCTCTTCCTTTTGTCTCCTTTATAAATCAGTGGTGAGCTCCATGTGCTTACACAAAGTTACATATGTGTGGTTTTTAGCATTCTGGATTTCAGTATATCAAATCTGGCAGCTTTTCTGTTCTCACGTTAGAACTTCTAATTAAAGTCTGGTCTAACTAGGATTCAGCTGAATGAGAACCAGTGGTTTTATTATTAGTAGCTTCTGCTTTTTATCCTCCACTCTTATATTAGCAGTTTGAATATGAAGCTGTGAAGGTAAGACTAAAAAAGCTGTAGGGGGCCTGTAGGGGTACAGACATCAACATCCTTCTCATCATCAATCAACATCCTTTCTCATGTTAAAGGGTTTCTTCTACATTTACGGTGGTTTTGGCAAAGGGACTCTTACAGATATGGTGATAATCTAGATTGGAGGCATAAAAAA